AAAATATGTTGTGTATTTAACCCAAGTCCCGGTTGATAATTTAATGTTAATTCAGCGTTGAATTAATGTTGACATTTGGTTGATAATTTAACAATTACAGTACCAACATGTTTTCAACATCCTTTAAACGTCAAGTAAAAATATAGTTTGCATTACAATGTAGAATCAACGTTGAAAATGTGTTACGTTTTTCAACCAGAATCGTATTGTTTATTCAACATTTTTCCATGTTAAATAAACGTTGAAAATATGTTGAGATTTTAATGTTACAGTAACTACGTAAATTCAACATCTTTTCAAAATATAGTTTGCATTTCAATGTAGAATCAACGTTGAAAATGTGTTACGTTTTTCAACCAAACTCCTATTGTTTTTTGAACGTTAGATACACGTTGCAAATATGTTGAGATTTTAAAGTTAGTATATCAACATAAGTTCAATGTTTTTTCAATGTGAAGTTAAAATGTAGTTTTTTATACAACTCCATTTCAACTTTGAATTCACTTTGAAATCTGGTTGAGATTTTAACATAACAATTACAATGTTTATTCAACATTTTTCCCATGTTAACTCTAAACATAATTTTTATTTTTATGTAGAATCAACATTGAAAATGTGTTGTGTATTTATACAATGTATCCATTACTTACTTAATGTTATTTTAACAATAAATAAACGTTGAAAAATGGTTTAGATATTGAAATTACATTAACAACATTAGTTCAACATCTTTTTAATATAATGTTCAAATATAGTTTGTATTTTAACATATAATCAACCTTTAAACTATGTTATGTTTTTCTGCCAAAAACATATAGTTTATTCAACGTTTTTTCTACGTTAAAAATATGTTGATATTTTAATGTTATAGTGACAACGTTAAGTTCAACATTTTTACAACATCAAGTTAAATTATAGTTTGTATTTTAATGTAGAATCAAGGTGGAAAAAGTGATATGTTTTTCAACCACAATCCTATTGTTTATTGAACATTTTTTAATGTTGAATAAACATTGCAAGTATGTTGAGATTTTAAAGTTAAAGTATCAACATAAGTTTTTTTTGTTTTTTTTTTATATAGTTTTTTATATAGTTTTTTACTCAACTTTATTTTAACATTGAATTCACTTTGATATCCGGTTGACATTTTAACATAACAATTGCAATCAAAATTTTTCCAATGCTAAATTTAAACATAGGCCTGCCTTTTTCAATGTTAATCATTGTTGAAAATGTATTGTGTCTACAAAGCACCCATTATTTACTCACCGTTGTTTCAACAATTGATAAATGTTGAAAGCTGGTTGAGATATTAAAATTTTAGTAACAACATTAATTCAACATCTTTTCAATGTCAAGTTAAAATTTAGTTTTTATTTTAACGTATAAGCAACATTTAAAATAAGTTGTGTTTTCAACTCAGAGTTTAAGATTTTACCAAACTTTATTTCAACAATAAATTCACTTTGAAATCGGATTGCAATTTTAACATAACGATTACAATATATTTATTCAATATTTTTCCAATGTTAAATTTAAATATAGTTTTTATTTCAATGTAAAATCAACATTGAAAATGTGTTATGTGTTTCAAAGTAGGCCTACCCACTATTTTTTCAACAATAAAAACGTTGAAAACTGGTTGAGATATTAAAATCACAGTAACAACATAAAGTTCAACATCTTTTCAACGTCAAATTAAAATGTCGTTTGTATTTTAATGTATAATCAATGTTTAGAATGTTATTTTTTCAACCAAGTTTAAATTTCTTTAACTCAACCTCAACTTGATATGAAATTTTATAGAAATAATTAAAAAAAAATAAAGAAAAAATTGTACAAGATTGATAAAAGGTGGGGTATAGAAAAACTCATATTATGGGAGCATAATCTTTAATCATTATGGTACAGTAATTGCATGGTTCATAGCCGTCGGAAGCATTTTGCAAGTGGTCCGGCCATTATAGTGAGGGAGTGGTGCGTGGGGGGAGGGGTTAGTATGAGCAATTGACAAATTTGGTAGTAAAAGTGGAGACCTGCTATCTCTATCCACAGCTACATGATTTTGAAGTTAGTTAAGGTCTGACCAAGTTGTGCCCACTGGGTCAGTTACACAAGTTAAAAATGTACAGCTAATAAATCTAACATTCCAATGTCAATGAATTCAGAAGAATTTTATATCTGTAAATATCATGTCGACAGCTCTACAAGAACAATTGCAATGATTGTCCTCAGCCACATTCTCAATCTCAAATGAGAAATATAGTATAAACTATAACAATGACATGACTCACAATCATTACATAACATCATGATGTTTGTACTAATGTTCTTTGTTTAAAAAGTACTAAATTCTAATACCAATTTCCTGATTATATATACTTTGCAGCAAGGGCTTAGCCAGCGAGCCATCCCACCATCTTTTGGACGGCCAACAATTATTTAGGACGGCCACTTTTACGGTGACGGCGTGGACGGCCTACATAACTCGGCCTAGCCTAGTTGGGCCTGGTCAACCTTTACAAAATTCTTTATATTCTTTGAATCTATCAAATGTTACATTAAATTAAAGCTAAATCATATCTCCATTTGGTAAAACTTTTATTGATTGAATTTACGTTGTTTTCATACCGAAATTCAGTGGGATTCCCCAAAAAGTAAGGCTAAACCATTGTCCACCCAGTGAAAATTTCACTTACAACATGCATATGTCGTGTTAAAAACATTTATACCACGTTGGAAAATGGATGTTTATAATCTGCCCACAAAGCATGCACATGGCTCTACAAATACAGTACTTGAGATTCGGTTCACCGGCATATCGTTGGTGTTTGTAATTCCCTGGTTATAATTAATACATGAAATACTGTAAAGCAGATTTGTTGTTAACATCAAAAGTTAAATTTACTAGTCTACAAAATACAGCAGGCCTAGGCCTATACATCTCTCGATTCAAAAGACCTAGAGTAGAATTTAAACTAGACTAGGGCGAGAGATGAAGATGCATCTGCATAGTCTAAAAACGTATGTGAGTAAACAACTGCAGCCGTGCGCAGTCTATGTCTATAACTGAAATATCTTTGTGATAGCTAATTCAAAAATTCCTTTGAAGACAAAATTCCAACAGCTTGCACTCTAAAGCTCATAATTTTCTTGTACGTAGGGAGGGGCACACTCCTTCCAAATCTACCCCTTCTCGGGGCCACGTCCCTTGGCTGTCGCTACGCGATAAATTCTTCGTCTTCCATTTTGGACAGCCTATTTCGTTTTTCTGGCTAAACCCTGCTTTGCAGTGCATTCTAAATAGGCCTTTGTTCATTTCTCTTTTCTCTGTTTTCAAAAGCTATGAAATGTACACACTATTTAAATTTAGCTAATGCTATATTGTGTAATGACATAATATATAAGTTGAAATAAAAACCACATTTAATATTGAAAAAATTCATCCACATAAAACCCACGTTATATTACCTTAAAACAATATGTATCATTCTCGTGGGAGGATGAGTGGTGGACTTTGCGAGTGAAGCGATCTTTAGGCTCGCCCTTACCTTATATTTATTTTTTTATTTATTTGTGTTAACGGAAATTTGAGTTTATTGTTTTTCCTCTTAGATTTTTAGATTAAAAATTTATTATATTAAATTTTTATATCATAATCCCATTATGAGCAACCTTTTGATGTAAGGTTAATCATGAATCAAGAAATATCAACAAAAAGTGTGCCACAACAAAGCATGATGGGATTGAAAAAGGGGCAAAAAACAACAAAACACAATATTTCCTTATAATGGCTAACGTAAATTAAATTTAATGGTGGTTGTGCAAAAGATCAAGCCGCACTATTGTCCCCTTTTCAATCCCTATGCATTGCGGCTTTGATTTGTGATAAGGTCTATTAGTGAAATAATTTATGTTTAAATATCTTGCATATCTCCTTTCGTAAAAACAGGTATACCTTTGCTATTTTAAATTATTTCAAAAACCACCAATTAAAATATAAACATTTATCTGTGTGTAAGTGATTTTATATGTGAATATGATACAGACTTAATATAACTAGCATTTAACACATCATGACCCAGCGATACATTAGTTTTCATCTTCAGGTCGAAAAAAAACATTGAGTTAATATAATGTTTGTTGTTTTTCTCAGTATTAATAATCTGCATTACTAACGAAATTTGTTCATCGATTTCATTATAGAATTCCTGATTCATAATTTGTATCTAAATAAATAGCAATCTGTCAGCAGCACACTTGATGGTAGGAAAGCCTTATTAAAATCCATAAAATGAAATACAAAATGCCACACATACAAGACAAAATTAAAAAATGTTTGCACAGTGACTTACCCATTATATGCAAATCTACGGTCCTTCTCATGGTCACCAAAGGTATCCCATAACCTGAGACTCACTCTCACGCCATCAATCGTCTCCCATGAGTTTTCCAAAACCTGAATAAAAAATGGTGAGTTGTTTTGAACACTGCGTTCACATCACATACGAAAAATGTCTAAAGAGGACATTCATACTCGTTGCTGATTGGTCTAACAAAAAGAATGTGGTTCATTATATGCAACTACCTACGTGGTTGTACCGCAAGCTTCAACATATATGCTATTACTTCGCCATGCAAAACCTTCAAACAATAAAATATTTATAGCAAAAAAATCTTACCACTAGCAGATCCAGAGGATGCAAGTGGGAAACATCCCAGTGTGGCCCCCCTCCCCGCCCCTGGTGTAAAATCCTTAATCAAGCGTAATATTGTTTAGATAGGAGATAACAATGGCAAAAAAAATCCAGAGCTTTCCCCTTCCCCTTATACCATGTCCTCAATTGGCATTTCAGACAACCACTCCCCGGCACAAAGTGGATCCACCCATACCAAACATTTCATACTAGATTTATTTGCCATATGTTTAGCTCAGTTTTATTCGCAAATAATCAATAAGCATTACCACCTTAAAGCAACCCTTAAGTACTGTACAACTTATCAACCAGTGCACACAAAATCAATGAAAACTTCACAATCTTCCTTGCTCATGAACTTTGAAATGCCAAGTGTATTTTGCAAATTCAGATGTACATGCATTGTAAAGAAATGACTTACAGTATGTATTTGTGATAATATTAATACAGACCTCTAAATTTCTCATGAATGTTTGTGTTTCCGAAATTCTTAAGGGGGATCCCTGCTTCCCAGCTTTTTAATATTTTTTTCCACAAAATATTGAATTTGGATTGTGAATTTTAAATTTGCTTTTATGTATATTTTGATATTCTGCGGCAAATAGATAGGCATTTATAGGAGAATAAATAATCTGTCATGAGCAGGCTATAGACAGGCTAAAAATGGGCCAAACATGGGTTGAGCTATGGATGGGCTACAGACGGGTTATGGCACAGACCCTTGGTTATGGGCTGGATAAGTCTGGATAAGTTGAGAATGGGCTACATGCGGATAGAACAGTTATGACAAGGCTATAGAAAGATTATACTGTAGATAGATTAAAGGAAGGTGAGTAGGCTATGGACAGGCTAAACTTGGGTTATGAACCATGAATTGGCTATATATGGGCTACACATAGGTTATGGGCAAGGTTGGATAAGTTAAGAATGGGCAACAGGTTAGTTATGGACCAGGTTTAAGAGCAGGCTATAGGTTGATTATGGATGGACTATAAAGGTGTATTATAACAATAGGCTTATGCATTGTCTCGATATGTTCTACAACTGATTTTTCAAGGACAAAAAGGGTGTTTGACAAAAAACTAGGGAATTTTTGAATAGGTGGAAAAAGGGGTGGTGGAAAAAGGGGTGGTTATGCCCCTTTTTCCCCAGTTTTTTAATACTCGCAAAAAGGCCACATTCGGTGGCCTTTTGCGAGGCTATGAGGTATTGGGTCCAGAATATTTGCAGGATGAATGAAATAAGTTTTAATAAAAGAATGAATAAAATAAGTTTAAATGACTTGGGGAACCGTCTTTTGTCTCATCACCCTCCCATCGTTTAAAAGCCAACAATAATTTTAGTCTGAACATTCTTTATTGAACTTCCCCACCCCTAAAGAAGAAAAAAGCTGCTGACTATGTACACTTTTTTGCCAGCTAACAGCACTGTACAGGGCCAGATCTAGAGATGTCCGAAAAGGGGAGGGGACGAAAGAAGGCCGAAAGTGGGGCCGATTGAGATAACACCACCCTTTTTTTTCCCTAGATGCCCGAAAATAACCTCTGAGACCTAGGTAGGGGTCTGGGATTACGCTAGAGGGGAGTCAGATGGTGGCCCCTTGAAGATTTTGCATTTTTGTTGAGGCAGTTTTATGTTTTACTTCATTTTTTTAAAACACTTTTTTGTTTTATGTGAAGCGAATAGAAGCTTTTGCATTACGCGCTATATAAATGTATTATTATTATTATCATTATTATTATTATTATTATTATTACCATTTAAACAATCATTCTGTGATGAATGAAAGTCAAATTACCTTTTAAATAAATAAAAACATGAGCCTATAATAATTTTGTTTATAATGTTAAAGCAGGTAAGATAGGTATACTGGTAAAGAATATGATTTAAAAAAATGGATTACTTTATTTATTTATTTTTGTTTTTTTATTTATTTATTTTTTTTTATTTATTTGGTATAAAATACTCAAAATGCAACAAATACTTTTGAGTTTACAATAGGAAAAAAAAATAAATATAAATACAAAAAGAAACATCAAATCACACAAAATAAACACCAAACTTTAGGCCTATCAAATCACTTCAATCTTTATACATTAATAAATAATTATAAATCTATATACATGAAAATTGTTATTACAAATTGATTATTTAAATATATATGTACAATTACAGACTTAAAAAATTGTTTTTTCATATTAAAAATTCATTGAAATTAAAAATATACTATTATATAGGCCTAACAACTACCTGATTCAAAATAGCAGTTGCTTTAGTCATTCAGCAAATTAATTGCACTTGGGAGTGTTGAATTGGATAAACCGGTTGGTTCTGCACCAAGGTACTTTATATTTCCTATGATTTCGTAGGCTCCTCACTGGTTTGGGGTTTTCAGGAACCCAATAAGCAAACCGTTGAGATGTCACAAGACTCTTTCCAAATTTAATCAGGAAGTCTGATCTCCGTGCCTGTAGTGATGGTAAGTTGAGTATGTTCAGTGCGTCTTGATATCCGTATTAGTATTTGTATCTCAGGATGATCTTGGTGGCCCTTTTCTGGACAAACTCCAACTGAATACACTGCTTCTTCGTAATGAAAGAATGCCAGAGTGGACTAGCGTATTCTAAGATGGGTCTTATATGTTATATAAGTAAATACAAGATCATCCCGAGGAGCACCATAACGTCTCAGAACATACAACATGTACATACGATGGGAAGATTTGGTAACCATTTCCTTAACTTGCGAATCCCATTTCATATTATTTTGTAACAGAACACCAAGCAATTTAATAGTTGGCTTTACTTCCAATACGTTACTTCCTAACATTAATGGAATGAAGAGGGGTTCATTTTTCAAAAAGTGTATATGCATTACATTGCATTTAGTGGAATTGGGCAACATATCATTTTCATTACACCAGGTTTGGAGTGCATCTAAGTGACTTTGGAGAGAGTGCCCAATCGAATTACTATGAGGAAGACGATTTATATCGCTGACTGTTAAATCGTCGACAAATTTCCATCTCTCTGGAATGTGCTCTAGCAAATCATTCACCATTATTGTAAAGAGAATAGGTCCTAACTTCGTCCACTGGGGAACACCGCAAGTAATGTATTTAAAAGATGACAATGACCCACCCAATCTCAAGCATTGCGACCGATGGGCTAAGAAGCTACAAACTGTAGGAATGACAGATGGGCATATATTATAATCAATTAATTTCTTGATTCCTTTGGTATGGTTGACCCGGTCGAATGCCTTGCTAAAATCGACCGTGCAAAATGATGCATATGTTCCTGGACAATCCGTACCAGATAAAATCCTGCGACATAGTCAACTAGGTAGTGGGTTGTTGAACACCCTTTAGAGTTGCCAAATTGCTGTGGATCCATAAGTGGTTGGAATTCTTTAAAGATCCATTCTGCAATGAAACTCTCAAAAATACGGCCAATAATAGGTGTAATAGAGATTGGGCGATATTCTTCACTCCTAGTTGCTTTTGAAGTCTTAGGGACAGGTGTAACAGAAGATATTTTCCATATTTTAACGAAGGTATTGGACTTAAGACAGAGGTTAAATATCTTAGCTAATGGAGGGGCTAACTCAAAAGCAAAATCTCGAATCAATTGCAACGGGATGTCATCAGGGTGCCTAGACTTATTTACCTTCATATTTTTTAAACGCAAACCTGGCCAGGGTATATTACTGGTGACTTTTGGGCCGGAAGAAATGCAGGTAAGTTTTCTAGATTAAGAGCAGGCAGCTGAGAGCAGATACTGGGAAAATAGTCATTAAGAATGTTGCCAACACTTTGTTCCTCACTGCCGGATTCCAAAATCATAGATTGTGACTTTTTCTCCTGTTATATTCTGAACCTTTTTATGCCATTTATGTGGCTCGTTATTCCTAAGAGCAGCGATTGATTTACAATAAAAGTCTTCCTTAGCTTTCCTAATATCATTGCGAACCATATTCCTGTAGGTTAAATATCCATGATGTTTCCCTGATCTGTAGACTTTTTGCCGTTTACGAATTATCTTACTTACATAATTTTCACACTAAACCAAGGTTTATCATCTTCTTTTATAGCGAGATATCACAGTAGGAAAGCAATTTTGATAATTGTTCATAAGGATGTTTTTAAAGTCAACAGCTGCCTGTTCTGGATCAGAGGTCGAAAATGCATTACTCCAGTCAAATTGAGTAATAATTTGACCAAAATTTCATAAACAGGAGTCCTTGAGAGGGCGTCTAACAACTCTCTTAGATAGGAAGATTTCATAGATACAGCTATTTTTGGCTTCAATTCAAAGAATTCCAGAGTGGTCACTACAGGCTAAAGGCGGAAGTTTAATCGGGGCTTGGTATATATCTGAATTACTGAGGATAACCTTGTCAAGACAAGCTCTACCTCGCGTGGTAAAGTTAACAACTTGAGTAAATGACGTGTGAAGTAAGAGTGGATTAATGTCAAAGTCATTGTCTCTAAAGCTACGCACATCATCGATTTTAGAACATAAATATTCCAAAAGTTCCTGTTGCTTATTACATTTAGGAGGATAATAAACCACACACACAAAGATAGAATGACAATTTGACACCTTCACTTCAACCCACAGACATTCTATACCATTCGGGCAACACAAATCCACATTGTAGTTCCATCTATTAGCTAAGTACAATGCAACACCACCTCCCTTGCTTTCCCTATCATTGCGAATACATACATAACCAGCCACATCAAAGCATTGTGATGAAAATCCATGATGAAACCAAGTTTCAGTCACTGCGGCAATATCTACTTTTATATTCATTTATAACAACTTCAAACTCATCAATTTTGTTGCAAAGTGAATGAGCGTTAGCCAAGAAAACCGTTGGAATCTCCTTACTCTTAGATTTATAGGGGATTGGAACTATCAATCTAGGACTCCTAAACAAATTTACCCTTGACCCAAAATATCTTCCTATCTGAACAGGGATTCTTTTTTTCATATGTCGCCCAGCGCGGCGTCCTCTTCTACGTTTAAAGATATTAAGAGATTTCAAAATTTTAATATCAGATACGTATATGTGTATACTACAGAATGCTTTAAATTCAACATCTCATCCTTCTTATAAATCCTCATATCATTATAAAACAATTGCTACCTTCAATCAAGATTAACAGTTTAGGCCTCAAAACAACACAATTGCCGGTAACAGTGCAATCAATATGCAACACATGTATACAATACATGATAAAATTTGATGGATTTAAACATTCCTTAATCGTGTCATATTGACTTATTTTAGAGCTTGACATGGTCAGGTGTTTATAATATTTTTATTCTATTACATAGTGAACATATACGTGTTTGTATCAGCCACGAATACTGAAGTGGTACGTTCCACTTACCTATACTCTGCTGCTCCTTTCGCTTACTGTACTAATTTGAATAATGAATTCTCGCATGTGTTGCTTTTGTAGCGTGACAAGTCTTCGTCCAATATTTTGTAGATTAGTAAAATTGTTTTTTTTTAATGGTATTTTAATAGGCATAAATGGGAGATCAAAATATGCCAGTAATAATAAGACATTTAAAAGAATGGTGCTACGATATATTTCTTCCAGAGCTGTGCACGTGTCCGGATGGCAAATTCGCACAAACATTAAGGCCTTACGCAATTTATAATATAGATTCAAAAATCATTTTTGATAGCAGCCTTTAAGCTGCTGCTGTAATTTCCTAGGAAATATATTAACGTAAAGGTTGTTCTAATGCACATACTATTTGTCTTCCCAAATAAAGATATTACAATAATACTTAGTATTGCAAATATATGGATGATTTCCTATCTTTTATTAGACCTTGAAATAAAAATGAACTACCAAACGCCTCTTTATGGCTGCTACGGTCACAATGACGCATGCGAGTTATAGGTTATTTTCCTACGTTTACCCCTTTACCTGTGAACTAACAGGATGCTCTAGATACCTAAATTATACACATTTATACCTCACTCTGGACACTGATACTTCACTATGCACATTATCATACCTCACTATACAAATCATTTCCATACCTTAATTTCCGATGAACTACTGTATCACATTGAGGTCAAGGAGAAGTGTTTTATAATTGAAAAAAACATACTGATGATACAATACTTCACATATTAAAATATTAATATTTTGTGTATGCATTATTTTCATTATTACAAAGATTATGACATTATTATTACAAACCTATGTTAGGATTTAGAGGGTTACCCCAATATTGTCAACATGATTAAGTAATTTTCAAAGGAAACATTATTTTAAATGAAATGACATTAAGCCTCAGCTACAGAGCCAGATCCCACATTTTTCAAATGTGATACGGAAGGGCGGGGAGAGGACCAATTAACTTATCAGATTTAAGTGGATAGCATTACAGTAGCAGCAGTGGCATAGCGAAGGGGCCAGAGGCCTCATTGAAACATTTTGTATTTGTATTCTACTTTCTTATTTCAACACATGGCATTGGTATGTATTGAAATTTAAAATATAAAGTGGCAAAATGGGTGGGGAAAGGAGTATGTGCTGCCTGTTCCCCATTATATTCGTCTCTGAGTTATATAAAAGCGAGCATGTGCTTTGAGGCATACCTGCTGACAGCGATGATACTGATCAATAGCCCACACAGATGGCACATGCGTCTGCGTCAGTAGGTTACGTGACATAACCTGTCCAGTTGCCCGGGCGACAATCAGCCTCGTCTTGCCCACGGAACTATCGCCAACAACAACACATTTGATCAGTTCTTGATTAGGAAGCTCATGGTCCATGGTGCAATTGCTTTGTGATAACAAATCAGATGCATACCCTGCGAAAACATCAAAGTAATATTTAGCATCAAGTAGGAGAGTTGAATAGGAAAGTTATCTATTATTTGCATGTTATTTATATAACACCTTCCTTTTCAGATACAAAGTGTTTTTTTTCCCAGGTTTTTGGGTAAACATGCTTAAGTGTCTGCTAAAATCAGTGCAGGAGTAGGCAAGCCTACCCACAAACTACAGTATTTATACTTCTGGGTGAAAAGAAGCAATGCAATAAAGTGCTTTGTTCAAAGAAACAAGAGAAATGCAGTGACAGATTTACAGTAGGTTGGGAAATAAAACCATTCCCAATATGGTAACAACATTTCTTTATTCAACCAAACACGTACATTGACAATAACATAACAAGAAAAGATTAAACAAATAATTTACATAAATCACCATATTAAACTTAGTTGGGAGAAGAACCTCCATCCACAAACATTTAATTCCATGATATTTTCAAACAAAAATGTATTATTCCACCCTGATTCAAACTTGAGACTCTTTGAATACATATAGTTGCTTTACCAAATTAATGACCTAATCCTAAAGTACCTCGACCATATAATCCTAAAGTACCTTGGCCATATTTAACCAACGGAGCAAGAAAAACAAATAAATTTAAACATCATTAAAGATACGGAGGATTAAAACGGACTTATTGTCCAAAAAGAGAAACAGCAAAATAGTTGCTATATCACTTAAAAGGCAAAATCACTGACAACAACGGTTATTGAAGCAAAGTCACTTTGTGTGATTAACATCCTGTTTGCAATGTTATCATTATTGAAAAAAATAAATCAATATTACAGTAATTTGATTAATGCACCACTAATTTCAATTGACATCATGGCTATTAATTACATAATTGATCTTTAAATTTGTAATTGGATCTAGATTATCCTGCATACTTTGCTTTAAAAATGAATTTCAATCATATTCAACTCTAATACAACATTCTAGAATCTTAAATAAAGGCATAATATCAAATAAGGGCAAATTTGGTGCTTAGGTGTAATTTTGCCCTACCCGACATGGAAATATACTGAATACTCAGTACATCAACAATTGTAAAAAAAAAAAAATTGCAAGTTGGTCTCCTGTGGGACTCAAACCCATGACCTCCACAGAGATCCCAAGTTTGAAAACCAAAAAATAGGGAGGTTTTTTCATGAAGCGATCACCTCCTGTAGCGACGCACTGTGACGCCTTACAACGCGCTGTGCAACATGAAAGTATTACACAAAATGAAGAAAACAAACAATTTTCATCAATCTGTTTACTATTATTTAACAATTTTACATTTGTTTACACATTGCAGTTGGCCAAAAATATAAATTTATAAATATTATTATTTATTTAGCATTTTGCTAGTAAAGTGTTCTTGGCAGCAGTCAACAAGGCTTTGCTTGGTCTGTCTCTTATACACATCTAGATGTGTATAAGAGACAGTTATCGGGCACTGTTGCTGAGTATTTACAATAACTAATTTTTACAAATTAATTGATGCCTACCATAGCATAAATTGAAAAACACTTTAATAGTCTTACCACAATTGCGAAATACTTTTGGAAAAAGAACTTTTAAATATCGCTCAATTAAATTATGTAACTCAATTATCAGACATTTGTAGCAATATTTCTTCCCTTTCCTTACAATCCTTTAAAAATCTAATTTAATTTACCCATTTGTTTTTCTTTTCTGTTTCTTGTATTTATGTAATTTATATACATTTTTTATGCATTTTCTTTTAATTATGTTTTGTAATGTAAAGTAATTTAAGATCATATCCTGCACCTCAGGGAAGATCAGAGTAACAATACTGACTGAGTATCCAAAATATAGAATATTTCTATCTAAACACATTGCTCCACAAAGCACACAATATTCTTAAACTGGATGTTGATACCCAAAATGTAGAAACTTGGGCAAATTCACTATACAGG